ATTCAACATGAATCAAGGTATGTGTTCTTCTGATTAAAAGTTTGTGAGAATCATCTTGTTTAAGATCTTGTGGATTCAAGATTTATATAAATTCATGTTTTCGTTTCGATTTTTTTTACATAATTTATGATGCGAGTTCTTGCAAGAGTTAGAGAACTCATAATGCATGTTGCGAATTCTTGTAAGAAAGTGAGAACTTTAATCTTAAATGAATAAAGTTCTTGTAAGAATTTGAGAACTCTTAATCTTACATAATTTCCTATATTTTCCTATCACTGCATCATCCATTCGAGATTATAATTCTAATTTTTCTTCTAGAATGCGCTTTTATTCAAAATGCGGAACCAGTAGTTGTCTTTGATAACAAGACAACAATGGTTAGTGTTCCAGTGAATAATGATCATGCACTATGTGTTAAATAGGTTAGTGTTGCTGAATTCTAGTCATGTAACCATACTAGTGAACATATTTGTTGTTAACTTCAGCTCTATCATGAATTTGAATCAAAACATAACATGACAGATTATTTGCTTTTGTCTTACAAATATGCATACAGAATTTGGTTCCATGTGTCAGGAACTCCTGGTAAGCACCAGTGAATGCAATCAAAATATTTATCTGTGAGTGCTTTTCCCTGTGGCTTAGCATAAACTGATACATGACCATCCTTTCTATATTGAGATAGCTGTGTTATGTTGATGAATGTTACAGGTACTTTCATCCTCCCAACTATGCTCGAAACCACCTTCATCATCCTTTTATCAGCCCCACTTCCCCAATATCCTCGCCGTGCGACCGGTCTCCTTTCGCCATAGCAGTAAGTCCCATTCTTGCGATTCCAATCTGCACTCCTGCATTTTCAGAAGAATGTGCTATGTTTGAGTCCAAGGCTTCATTTGGGATGTCTTTCTTACTGCCGTTTAAAGAAGCTAAAAAGCTGCTTTAAGAAGCATCAAGAAAGCCGTCCCAAACGAAGCCTAAGTCTTGAAATACTAAGAACCGTGTGTTGACATACTCTGTATGAATGAATTAATAACTTGACAAATTGAAAGAAAGAAGGAATTACTTCATGTGTGAGGGGGATGCTGTACTGAAAAAAATCCTTGTACTGCTCTTGTTCAGACTGGAATCAATCCAATTTGCCCATGTCTTGATTGCCATTCTGTAAACAAGAAGAGCTTCCAGTTCTTCATAACCTTCCTCTCCATTTGCAAATGATCCCCACCTGAATGATAGATCATTTCTATTTCAATAACTTGCTCAATATATCACTAAAAATTTAAACTTTGAGACTTACAGAGACTTCATCCTGTGACCATTCATCCACCAAATATAACTATTGAATACTATGATATCAACCCCAATCCAATACTTAGCATGCTTTGAGATTGAATCCACTCTTAATATTCTGTCTCTGGAGTTTGAGATGATATTTTCATCAGAATTGGACTGAACAAGGAAAGGTGCCCAGTAGAACTCAAGTGAGGCATTGTAATCCTGAAATTGCACAGAACAGGAAGAACTTTCATATTGCTAATGTCTTGATTAGTTGCAGAGAAAAGTAACTACAGATCTGGACTACCTCAGCCTTGAATACCGACAGAGATCGATCGAGCTTCATCGATTTCTTATCAGATGGAATAACATACTCCACCATGCAAACCAGTGACTGCCATTGCTGTCTTTGCAGTGAATCTCCAGCAAACATGAGCCTCTTTCCTCTCAATTTCTCAAGCAGATCTGTAGCATTAAACCTGCAACGAAATGCAGATATCATGAGCTCCTGTGTAGGACTATGAAAAAAGTTTGTTATTTGTGTTTGATTGTATTTGGATCAATCTATAACTAGCTCTAGTTTAATTAATTTTTATTTGCTATGTATATATGTATAATTGTGTATGGTTATATATACACATACAAGTGCATGTATATTCCATAATTTATATATGACTTATATGTTG